TAACGACGCCGATGAAGTCGAGACTGAGAAGTTTCCTCTGCAAACGACGTCTGAGAACTGTTAGGTGGCCGTGCTGTTTCAAGCCCTCGTCGCTGACCAGACAGAGCAGCCAACCGCATGCGTTCCGGCACAACAACGATTGGGTATCAAGACCTTTTTGGACTCATACCGTTTGTCGGGCGATGCAGCTCGTGCGACAATCTTGAATTCAGCTCGTAATGGACATCTCGCTGTCTGCAGGGTGCAAACCTTCGCGGAAAGCAAACTTCACCGCGGGGCCAGCGCAGCCGGGGCCAGCGCAGTCGGTGACCTCGTAACTTAGACCCCCGACTTCCTTCCCGTTCAGAATCCCTTCCCTTGGTATGAAATTTGGGCCTGATCGCCTATGACATCAGCTTCTTATGGGTTGAGGGACTTTTCACAAACGGATGATCCAATCGGCCTGCAGATTCAAATCAACTCATGCGGCGCCATCTGCACGGAGTTGTCGGGCTGCCTGAGATTACGGAGCAAGACTACCTGGAGGGCTGCGAACACCAGGAGGTGAGGTCGCGGGAAGCAGCGAGGTGACTCGGGCCGAAGAGAGACCTATGCGAGTCGGCGGGCGCGGGGATCGCCAGGAACTCCACCGTGGGTAGCGGAGCAAGTCCCTGTAGGCAAGTGAGATGCGTGAAAGCCCCCTCCGGGGCAGGACGCCGAATGCTTCACTAGGAGACTAGACCAGGCTGCAACGGAGTGAGTGGAGTCAAGGTTACTGCCACATATCGAGTTCTCGAGAGGATAACGCGGCCCAAGAGATTGTGAGTATCGGCGAATCGGGCGTGAGTTGTGCCGCCGGCCGCATGCCAGCAAGGAGCCCGAGTGACGACGTTGAGAGTGCCGAAAAATCTCAAAGGCGCAATTGACGACGACGCGGGAAGTGGATGTCCAGGTTGTCGGACCGCAATGCCTGCCGGTGAGGTAACCACGATGATAGTGGGCCAAGTGACGGTGAGGGAGTCAGTAGCTGGTTGTACGCATCGTAATGACCGGGTGTAGAAGCGGAAGAGACAGGGCCGTAGTCGATGACGGGATGCCATGGGAGCTTTGAGCATGGCTGTGCAGTAGAGGCACCCCCGGCACCCGGGCTCGCGAGGAACGCTGAGTGGACAAGGAGTGACGGGGAACGCCGGCACATTAGTCGAGGAACCTTGCGGTAGGCGGACATGTGGTCGATACCATAGCGGAAGCGAGATCGGCAGGTCATGCCTCAAGGTTGCCCAGTTGGCCGTCAGGACCGGTTGAGGAGATGAAATTGGGGTCCGAGCGGCCCCGCCGTTAGCTTTTTAGCCCAAGACAAAACAAGACAAGTTTTTTTCCCGACAAGGACTTGGGTACATGAAAGCAAATTGTTCGACCGAGTCAAGTGGCGCCGGGCTGGTGGCAACTTTGGTGGCCATGATTGTGGATGCTCAAGGCAACTTCTGCGGCACCGCTGGTTGCTCGTTCAAGACTGGCACGGTCTGCATGACAATTTGGTCGAAGATGCCGTGCACCAACAACTCTGTCAAATACGTGAAGTTGAAAGACTTCAAGGTGGTGGTATCGGTGCCGAAGGGCTGCCCGGGCATATCGGTGCCCGAGGGTTGCAAAGACATTCGTGTACCGTATGGAATCAACAGCATACAACTGTCGGGGAAGTCACGAAAAAATCGGGAAAGGTCTGCTGCGTCGTTGTACCAATTTGTTCTCACCCTAGCTCACAAAGTCTTAACCATACACTCAAACACACCACGTGAGATCTTCGGAAGTACTGAAGGTGCCCGGAAGTTAAGGGATGAGATTGTGAGAAGAATAGCAGGAGATTTCTTTCCGAAAATCAGAGAACATGAGAACAGTTTGACTGAGGAAGAACGCACACGTCTGTGGAAATTGACGCAATACTATTACATGCACAACGTCCGTGACATCGAGGAGAGTGAGCTCGAAAGCTATCTCGCAATCCCGCCGAATCCCAAGGAGCAAGGTGTCATGAATTACTCAGAACTTCAAATTCTGGACGAGTCAGAAGGTGTGTCTAACACTGTAGTGCCTGACGCAGAAGCATTCGACGGTGATAACGAGAAGGAGCCTAAGAACGCAAAGAAGCCTAAGAAGGTGACAGAGACGGCTGACTCTGAATCGGTTGGTCTAGAGGGAGAAGAGATGCCGCGAAAACGGAAGAAGCTTAGGAAGAAGAAGAAGCCTGTGTGCCCGGTACTGGGCGATGCAGTCTTGGGTGACGCGATTTTGGGCGATGTGGCGGAGGGGGGGGGCGTCCCAGAGGGGGTCGAGATGTTCGTGAAAACAGCGCCTTTGGTACGTGCAATAGAAGAGAGAGAGGTGTTTGAAGTTGTCCAGACGCCGGAGGAGAAGATGACGGAGGTCCGTTTATCTAGAGAGGAGCTTGACAAAGAGTGGGAAGCCCTGGAAGGATGCCTACGTCACGAGTGGGACTTTGAGGAGATTGTTAGGCCTCATGGGTTTTGTGAAATGTTTACATCAGTAGGTCCAGCGTTGTTCACATTGATGTGTGCCGGGGGCCTGTATGGGGTGTTGTTGGTGATGGAGGGCACGTTCAAGCCCCTGTTGGATGACATTACGTGAGTGGCATGTAATGAGCCATCCCTTTTTTTTTTTCCGGAAAGTATGCGGCTATTCCAAGATGTATGTGCACGGGGTTTGGCAACTTCACGGAGCTAGGGGAGGCGTGTCACGATGACAGGGCGTGGTGGGTTACCTTCTGCAGTGGAATCAATACTGGTCGTCCTGATCATGATTATGCCTACGGTCCTGACCCACCCAGTGACCGGTTAATGATCATGACCATTTTCGTGCATCCTGACGATGGGGGGACATACGGAACGAATTGAGCTGGTTGTGACTCGAGGGCTAATCGGAGTGTCAAGATGAAGAGGGTTTGGCCTCGAGGAAGAAGAACCTCACCCGCAAACCACCGACACTAGACCTCAGTGCTCTTAGCCACTCCTGTGAATATTAAAATCTTGATCCGGAGGTCCGTGGCGGCACATGTCTCTTCTGCTATTTGTGGGCGAGTTCGCGTGCGGCTTTCTTCACTTCGCCCACATTCAATCTGTGTATTATGTTTGAGTTGGTCTAAAATTGTTTGCTTAAAGAAACCAGGTTTTTAGTTGGATTCAATTTGCCGGTTGGCTGGATTCGATTTGCCCCTGGAAGGTAGTTGTGGTTGGTATTGTTTTGGTGTGTTAGCAGCGCCCGATAGGCGTGCACCTATAGGCGTAGTATTGTGTTCGAACGTGTAGGGGTACCGACTTGGCAAGTGGTATGAAATGTATTGTCTTGGTTAAGTCGATCCTTGCGAGTTGCTGCCCAAGTTATGATGGGCCAGCAGGATTGTAGGGCAGGGAATCGCCCATGGCTTCAAGTATGTTCTGGTGGTTCAATAAGAGTCATTCCTCCGCTGAGCGGCGAGAAGGCCCATGACGTGAGAAACAAGATTCTGAAAAAAGCCTTGATCGACCCAGAGATCAGACAGCACCGACAAGCTGATTATAGTGAACCAGCTGATCGATCAAGGACTCACGAACTATCGATCAACTTGATTGCAAGCTGCGCGGTGTACGGAAAGGAGGGAAGCGAATAGAATCGGGATCGATACTAAAACCGATCAGCGTATACAATCTGAGCTTACGTAAAAGGCCTGAGAGAAGACCAAGACTAAGATTCCTTAGACGGAATAACGCAG